CCCCTTTGTGCTGGGGTGTGTCTCAAGGACACTTACAGGCAGCAGGGCTGGGATGAGAGCCCTTCGCTGGCCCGGGTCAGAGGGGGTAAGAGGTTGGAGTGCAGTGCAGTCTCTCTGTGAATCGCTCCAGCACGAGTGGCCCCTAGGGCAGCCTGCTGCATTGCCGAAAGATCTTTTCCTTGTCAACCTGCATTGCTCTTGTTTTAGCTGCTGCTTCTGTCTGTGCTATGCCTGTCCACACCCCCTCCTTCCTCTTTATTTCACTGTAAATGTTTTTGGCCCCTTGCTGCGCCTCCCCCACTGTCGCCCTTGCTGGAGTCTCTCAGATTTGATTTGTTTCTGCGGGATGTCAGGGTTACTCAGTGTGCTGTCATTGCAGGGGGAGTTGGGTGTTCTGGAATTACCTCCAGCTCTCTGTCTGTGAGCAAGGGCCTGCTGTTTGTGCGGTGGAGTTGCGTGTGTGGGGAGGAGTGTCGGTACCCAGAGAGTCCGTGCCGTGTTCTTTCACAGGCTCTCTACGTGGGCAGCGGTGCACCGCTGGTACAGTGGGGTGAGTTGGGTATGCAAAAGAAAAAGCAGGAGCCCTTTATTATTCACACGTTTCTCTTGGGTAGCCTGAAGGAGACCGTGGCTAATTCAGCATGTGCCTGAGGCAGGGAAGGTTTTATTAGCTCCATTTTAAAGAAAGGGAAACTGAGGCATTTGACAGTTATGTGAATTGTCCAGGATAACACAATGAGGCAGCGGGAGAGCCCAGAGTAGAACCCAGGTATCCTGGCTCACAGCAGCTAACCGTGCCCTTTGCTAACAGCTGGCGAGGGCCTGAGCACTGAACTGAAGCCTGTGGTTAGCAGGCTGCAGGCTGCCTTAGCGAGCCCTGTGTTCTCAGTGTGTCTGTTTGGGGCAGACTCAGGGCCCAGGGACTGGGAGCACATGTACCGGGCGGACGTCTGAGATCTCCCAGGCTGATGGCACAGGGCTGTGCTGTCCTTGTCGCTAGCCCAGGCTGCCTGCCTGCCCCTGCCAGAGCCCGGGCACAGCGACACGTACGCTCAGCGCTGGAACTGGCAGGAGATGCCCCACAGCTTGCTGAACCCTAAGCAGTTCTTGCCGCTGCTTTGGGGCTGACAGCCCCCTTGATAGACAGCGTGGGGACCAAGGCCCACCCCCACGTAGGAGGTGTTCTCTCCTGGGCTCTTCTCACGGCAGTGGCATGGAAGGGCTTCTGCCCTCCGTGGGAGCACAGCTGAAGGAGTGGCCCATCCAGTGCTGCTGGGGCCTAGGTGGGGATGTGCTTAGGGAATGAATCCCACAGAATTAGCCTCCTGGCCCCTCAGCTTGGGCTGGGTAGGCCTGGTGCCTGCTGCACTCCTGCGCTGTGTGCAGGTCAGCCGGGGATGGTAGGGAGAGGAGCAGGAGTTTGCACATGGCCAGCCATTGTCTAGTGCATCGTGGACCGTGGCAGAGAACTGGCATTGTCCTTTCGCCCTTGGCACCTAATGAGCTGCGCAAAGCGATGATGAGATTCTGAGCCCAGGGCGTGGATCCCTGGGTGGTGGGAGCACTTCAGGGCAGGGCACCCAGGCTGAGCCCCAGAGCGGGAGGCTGGAGCTATCCCTGGGGGGTGCGCTTGCTCCCAACATGTGAGATCGTCTCTTCTACTCCCTGTGGCGACAGCAGCCTCCCGGGGGCTCGGGCTGCGATCCTCGCCTACCCCTTCGGGAAGCACATGCACCCTGACCTGCTGGCATGGGGCAGGCAGCCGCGTAGCCAGGTGGAGGGAACAGGGGGAGCGATCCAAAACAAAGGCACCACCCACTGCGGCGCTGTTACTCATCCGGTGGCGCCCCGGCGGCCGGCCCTCACTCGCGCCGGGTGACTCCGGCAGCACTGACGGTCCCGCCGCCGGGTGAGTAAAAGCGCCGCAGCGGGTGGCACCTTAGTTTTGGATCGCTCCCCCTGTTCCCTCCACGGGGGAAAATTTAAAAGGCGCCAAGACATTGACATGGCGCCACTTGTGCTCAGTGGGGGAGCGGCCGCTGCCCCGCTCCCCCCCCAGCTACGCCACTGGGGGCAGGAGCCAGGCTGGCTCTGTTGCGGGGCTGGGCAATTTAACGTTCCTTTGGGGAGGGATCTGTGTAAATGGGACAACATTGATTTTGCCAGCAGGGGAGGCCGAGCCCAGGGCCTCTGCAATGCTCCTGTGTGGATCTTTCCCTCCTGCACAGGAACCCTTGCCCTCTTTTATCTCCGCATTGCACATGGTACGTTGGACATGGTGGGTCATAATCACCCGGGTCTAATTAGCCGTGTCAGCGTAGGGAGGCAGCTCGGTGATGGGAGTCACAGCGTGGGGTGGTCAAGCGGCTGACTGGACTCACGTGGCTGCGATTCTCTTCCATCCCTTGGCCTGTGTGGAGCTGCCCTTGCTAGGAGAGAACGGAGCCAGCGTGCTGGGGCAGGGCTGGGGCTGCGTCTTACACAAGTCCATGTGGCTGCTGCAAGGGATGAGCATGAAACGAAGCAAATGGGTCCTCATCTTTCGCGTGGATGGGTGGGTGGTAAACGCGCAGCAGTAGGTGGGAGGAGACCTGGGTTTTATTCTAGCTCTGACCCTGGCCTTAGACAAGTCATGGAATGACTCCGTACCCCGGTTTCCCCATCTCTAAAATGGGATAATATTGCTCTACCTCAAAGGGGGGATCCTGAGGCTCAGTGGTGACCTGGGAGGAGGGTTTGTGTCTTCATGGGGGGGTCCAGAAGGGCTGGGAGGTTTGCTGTTTTGTTTGTTGTGGGCTTGGTTTCTTTACCTCCGAAAGCTGAGGGAAAGGGGAGCTGCGGGACTCTTTGGAGAACTCCTGTGAGTTGGGAGCTATCTCAGCCCTATTCGAAAGGGGCCACCAGGGAAATGAATCTTTAACAAGGAGAGATTCTTTGTCTCCTGTTTCCCAAGAGTTTGAGTCAAACACAAATGGAAAGAGCATTCCCAGCCGTGTGATCAAACCCACTCCCCTGTCACTGGTGGGTTGAAGGTTTCTCTTGGTATGGCCCTGCCAGTTCTCTAGGCTCTGCTGGCGCAGAGGAGATGCAGCCTGGATTTCAGATGCAAAAAACGAGCAGGAAACACAAAGCCGCCTTAAAACCTTGAATCCTGCAGCCCTGTATCCAGTCTAGGGAAAGCAAATGGGGGAGGGGCCTGCCTGCGTTCCTCACCTTTGATTGCTTGCTAAGGGGTTTGGAAGAAAGAGTGTGGGTGGGCAGTGCTAGCAGAGGGCAAGTCCTATTCTCACTGGTGGTGGCCAGTGAAGACTGCGGGTGTGGCTTGCAATAGGCTCCGTGGTCTCTGCAAACCCCTCCAGGCTCCTAGGCAGCCTTGCAAAACTACCTGGGCTGCAGGTGTCACCCTTTCAGCAGCTCCCCTAACTTGTCTTTAAGCCATCCCGAGGGCCTGTACGGTTTGGCCCAAGTCCCCTGGGGGTCAGCAGCCACCACCCTAGTGGCTTCAGGGGAAGGGCTTTGCTCCCCTCCTGGATCTGGCTGGCACAGAGCTCTCTCTCTGTGGCAGTGTTATGATCCGATCCCAACAGCAAAGCCTTTGCCTCTTCCAGTGCCACACAGTTGGGTGCCCCAAGCCCATTAGCTTAGCTGGTTAAAGCCTGGTGCTGATAATAGAAAGGGTATGGGTTCGATCGCAGTATGGGGCCAAGGGGTCAAGAGGCAGTGTGGGCTAGTGGGTTGCCTTTGCTGTTAGGAGCCAGGTGATTGTGAAGTCTAATTCTGGCTCTTCCTCTGCATGTGGTAACTCACATCATTATCCTGTGCACCCCAGACAATGGGGTAGGTAAGCTCTGCCCGAGGCTGCTTTGCTCATGGGGGGGCTTGCTGTCAGCAATGACTTGCTTGCTTATGAATCTGTAGACACATTCAGACTGGGAATAGGGCATACATTTTGAACAGTGGGGATAATTCACCATTGGAACAATTTACTGAGGGTTCTGATGGGTTCTCCATCCATGGCCATTTTGCCGTCAAGATGGGCAGTTTCTCTAACAGATCTGCCCTAGGAATGATTGTGGGGCTGGTTTCTGGCCTGTGTTGGATATCACAGTGGGCCCTTCTGGCCTGGGGAGCTGTGGATCTATGAATAAATTCATTCGTGGGCCCGGAGAGGCAGGTGGGGCCATAGCTCCTTCTTCCTGGAGCTGCAGGCTGCCCCTGGGGACTGTGAGGACACTGTGCCCGCCATGGGATCACAATGGCACCAGTGTTTGTGGTCTGGTGCTAGCTGGAGTTGTGGCAAACTCTGTTCCTGTTTCCAAGCTGCTCCTCACGACCATGCCGGCTAGACAGCGTTATGGCTTGGAAGGGAACACTGAGATTCAGCGACAAGGAGCAAATCCCAGAGCGTGCTCTGGAGCTCCAGAGTTGCAGAATGCACGGTCCTGCCAACAGCGGACAGAGCACTGTCTTTGCCTCACCACGAAGTGCTCACGTGTAGTGTCTCTGGGGTGGTGACGCTCTGCGTGGGGCACCACTAGTTAATGCAGCCTGCAGGGGGAGCATAAGCACCCCCAGAACTGCTTCATCTCATTGAGGGGCCGTGGCACCCCTCAAATCCTCTGTGGGCTTGGTACAAAGGAAGCGAGAGGCTCATGGAGAGGAAAAGTCTTGGTAGTTGTGGGGTGTGTTTGCAGGTAGGGAGTGAAACAGTCATTGCTGCTCCCCAGAGACCCCCAGGGGACCCTGGGCCTGGCGATTTCTGATGGTGGCTCTGGGTGCTGCCCCCCTCCTTGTGGCTGGTGAACCTGGTGCATGGCATGGACAGTCCTGGGGGGAAAGGAGCTTCTTTCTGTGGGACGTCTGCCCTGTAGGCTGAGGCCTGGTGTTCTCGGGGGGCAGCTCAGGGCAGCAGGTGAGAAGGACTGGGTGGGTGATCTGTCGTGGGGGCTTTTCCTGTCAAGAGTGGGCCCCCCTGATGCCCGTGTCCCCCTCTCTCTCAGGATGAGATTGAGGAGCTGCGTGCGGAGATGCTGGAGATGAGAGACGTCTACATGGAGGAGGATGTCTACCAGCTGCAAGAGCTCCGGCAGCAACTGGACCAGGCCAGCAAGACCTGTCGCATCCTGCAGTACCGGCTGCGCAAAGCAGAGCGCCGCAGCCTGCGCGTGGCACAGACTGGGCAGGTGGATGGCGAGCTCATCCACAGCCTGGAGCAGGATGTCAAGGTAAGACGGGCCCCAGCCACATCTGTTCTGGCTTCTGCTCTCCGGGCGCAGAAAGCTGTTAGTCGTGGGAGCTCAGATGCTGCAGGGATGGGGACCTTGCCAGAGAGATCTCGGGGGTCCCGCTGCCCAGTGGGCTGGTGGTGTGTGCAGGACCCCGGAGCTGCACAGGACTGATGTGTGGTCCTGTCTGAATGGTTATTATTTCTTATTAACCATGTTTATTGTGGCACTGCCTAAGGGCCGGCTGACGGGGGCCCCGTTGTGCCAGGGACTTTGTACTGCAGACGCACCCACGGGCTCCAGCCAGGCCCAGGCCCTGCTGCGCTAGGCACTGCCCAGACATACAGGGAGAGACAGCCCCTGCCCCAGGCATTTCCAATCCCAGTTAATAGGGGCAAGACCCGACAAGTGGGTGAGACAAACCAGTGTGGGGAGGGTGGGTGACAGTACTAGGAGCCCAGGCCAGCCATGGATGGCCCAGGGCTGGAGGAGTGGCTCAGGTGCTGTAATCTCGGCCCCCCAGTTGTGACCAGGCCCTGGGGTCAGGGCTCTGTTTCCTGCAGCCAGGAGCGGTCCCGGGAGTCTGGGAAGGGTTCTGGCTCCTCCCTGGCCCCTTTTGACTCGGCTGTGCGGGCCCTGCGCCAGGCGGCGTGATCCCAGCACACGGTGCGGTGCCCCGGCGTGCTTGGAGTGAGCTGGATCCGTGCTAGCTCGGGTGCCTGCCCGTGCTACGTCACGCCTCCTGACCGCAGCGTAGGCGTAACCACAGTGACCATAACGGAGCCATTGCAGCTGAATGCCCTGGGCTGCGTCAGCCACCAGGCACCGTAGGCCCGTGTGTGGGGTCTGGCTCTGGGGCGGGGTGGTACCACGTGCCGCCAGAGGTGTACACTAGGGCAGGCTGCCCCAGGCGAGGGCCCGCTGCTGCTCTTTGGGTGGCTGGGGGAGGGGACCCTGCTGCTGTGGCTCTGAAGGCAGCTGGGTGTGGAGGTCCCCCCCCCACCCCCCACGCTGCCGGGGTGAGAGGAAGGCCCTGTGGCAGTTGCTGGTCTGTGGAAGCTGCTGTCCTGCTTTCTCTGGGGCTGTGCAGAGGAGTGGGCCCTTTGGAGCGGTGGGCTTCTCTCTGGCTCAAGCAGTGTGAGGGGAGGGGCAGTGGATGGGCGGCGGGGGGTTGGCTTTGCCCCCTCCATGCTGGCTGGCTGTGAGGGGTTGAACTGGCCAGTCCCAGGGGCCGCTGGGGTCATCTCACATTGCAGGTAGTCTGTAAGGTCCTGCTCCTCCCCCTTATCAGAAGGGGACCAATACTGTGACCCCGTAGCCCTGCGTCCCCCTTCCCTCCTCTGCACGGTGGAGCCTTGGGTTGAGATTTCTGGGCTCCCCTCTCCCTTGGCAGCCTCTTTCTCCGTGGAAAGGAGGGACACGGGAGGGCACAGCTGCAGCAGGAGTCACGCTTCCCTCTGTTGTTCCCCTCGAATGCCCCTTTGCTTGTGCCACTCCAGCCTGATGTGTGGGTCCAGGGCTCCTGGCCTCCCGGGCAGGGATTTGCTCTCCCACCAGTGCTGCTTCGAATCCCGGAGCTGAGCAGCTGAAGGGACCTGGAAGGGCGAGCTATACCCAGGAGCTGGCTGAGGGTCTGGGCTAGCTAATGACTGTCCCAGGCAGCTGTCTCCACTGCTGCCTGGGGATGGTGCGGGCTCGGCACGACAGCACCCACGCTGCCGGATGGACGGCTGTGTCATCTTGTGCCCTCTGTGGCCCGGTCCCAGCCTCAGGACTTCTGCTAGAGCTTCCCTAGCTGAAGGGATAGGAGTTGGATGGGGCCATAGTGACACTGGGAATAGCACAAGCCTCAAGGGGGCAAGGGACAGAAGTGGGGAAGAGGTAAGGGAAAGGAGCTGGGGGGAGGGAGAAAGGACAACAGGATGGAGGGAGTGGAGAGAGGATGGGAGGGAGAGGGAGGAGAGAGGGCTGGCTTGGTACAGCTGGGCAAGCCATGAAGCTTCAGCTTTTCCTGACCCTTGCTGAGTGTGTGGGAATTGTTCCAGCTGCAGAGCTGTAGCCTGTAGGTCTCCCAGGGGAGTGTCACTCCGAGATGCAGCTCGCCCCATTGTGGTGGGGCTGGCTATGCTCAGTGACCTGGAGCCTGGCTAGGACAGAGGCCTCAGCCTTCCTGACAAGAGGCTCCCCCTTTTCCCCAGCCCCAGGTGAAGCCCTTGTGGAGCCAAAGCTGGGGGGTTCTGGCTCCCACCACATGTCTCAGCCACGCTGGCAGAGCTGAGCCTTTGTTGATTGCAGCTGGCGTCACTGAATACTCGTTTACAGAGCTGGGTAGAGCAGAAGTGATCTGAATTTTGTGGGGCTTTAATTCCTAGCACCCCTCAGCTGGTTGCTCTCCACTCCTCAGTAACTATCACTGCATCCAAGACCAACAGACAGGCACGTTTGCCGGGTGTTCCCGCTGAAGTGGTCAGCAGTGAAACAGAGAAGTGTTGGCTGATTGAGCTGATTCCCAGGACCACTGGGAAGGTGACCATAGATTAGCCAAACGCTGTTCGCCATTGGAAGGTGACCTTTACAACCATCACACGTAGAAACTTTTAAACCCTAAGGCTTGATCTAAAGGTAAATATTACATTGGCCTGGCTAGATCGCTCAGGGATGGGGGGAAATTCTGCACTCTGTGCTACGTAGCTAGGTCGCCCGGTGTAGATGCAGCTAGGTCAACAGATGGATTCTTGCCGACCTAGCTACCTCCTCTCAGGGGGTGGGGGTGCATTAAGTACAGCGATGGAAAAAGCCCTTTGATATAGGCATCAGCAGTGCCATAGCGATGCAGCTGGAGGCGCTGGAGTATAGCTATACCCTTAGGTTCTACAGCAGGAGCATGGGGGTCTCTACAGCCTCTGGATTGCAGATAACCAGGGGAGCAGGCAGCTGCTGGGGTGCAGGAAGCATCGGATTGTTAACAGTCTTTACTGACTCTCACCTGACAGTCTGCGCCCCTGTTCCCAGCTTCAGATCCCCTGCAAACCAAGTCGCCCAGAGAACCCAGGCCTCCAAATCAGCAACCCTGCGAAGAGTTGGAGCTGGAACCAGGCCCCTCCACCCAGCTTGGCCCTGAACCCTTCCTTTCTGCACCATCTGCTGATCCCCAAAGGGCTGTATCACTCCCCTCTCTGGAGTCAGAGATGCTGTGGTCCCCCTGCTGTCTTTGTGCTACTCAGTGCAGCTTGGCAGGGTTAGTGGGCAAGGCCCTGGCCTGCCTTTGCCAGCGTGTGGTCTTCAGTGCTGACAGTGACAGTAGGGATCCTGCTCCTAGCAGCTTGCTGGACACCGTCGCCCCTCCCTTTCTCTTCTCTGGGCCCATTCCAATGCTATTCGCTCCGCAGGCAGAGGGCCTGGCCTGGCCTTGCTCCCTCCCGGGGCCAATCAGTAGATGTAGGACTAAGGCACGGGGGTCTGGGGGGAGCCAGTTGTCTCTCTCCCAGTTGTCTCCTAGAGTTCACACTGCAGAGTCATTGAGGGGCAGAAGAGGAAGGTCGCTGCAGCAGCTGGGCAGGGCCTGGCTTCCCCTCCCTGCCCTGCAGTGCACACGGAGGAGGAAGTCTCCATGCCCTGGCTCTGTAATCTCTCTTGCACAGCCAGAGCCCAGGCGGCACCTTCCCCTCCCCCCGCTGGCTCCCGTAAAAGCAGGCATCGCAGCCGCGCGGCTTAGATTAGCACTTGGCCACCCTGTGGCATGAAGCACTTTTCCATCCTCGCGTTAGGAAGCTGAGCAAAGTCTGAGTTTGAGCCAAACAAGGGCCCTTATACAAAGGAAGGGTTGGGTTGCCAAGTGCCCCAGGCATTAGAAAGTGGCTGATCCTGGAAAAGAAACATGCCACAAGTGACTGATGGCGGCTCCTCCCCAGCATCCGGCGCTAACTGGCCTGTAATTATGAGGAAAAGTCTGAGTGTGTATTTAAAAGCGAGTCTCTTGCTGCCCACACCTGCTGGGGACAAACCCTGCGAGAGCCGATAGAACAGAACTCTGCTCCCTGCAATCAATGTACCCAAATGTATGGGTTTATGTTCCTGCTGCCCCCGTGCTGTTCCTCTCCTGGGTCCCCTGCACTGCTCCTCTGTTGCACAGCAACCCTGGCTTCATGCTCCCAGCTCCCTTGAGCAGTGCTGCCGGACAGTGTCGCTGCAGCCAGTGGCAGTCGCCTTCCCATGTCCCCTGTGCAGTCGATTGGGTGCTGGGTTGAGTGCCCTAGAGAGCGCCTGAGCCCCTGTGGATCTGCATGACACACCCTGGCCTCTGTCTTGAGACCAGGGTTAGGATGTGACCAATGCCACAGGGATTAGGGGAATTTGATCTCTTGTCCCACAATTCCCTGGACTCCTGGAAGTGCTTTCAAAATCTCCCAGAAGCCATGGCTTCCGGAAGCTGCCCCAGGGGACTGGGTGGCAGGCACCCGCAGGCAGTGTGACAAGTGGTGCTGTCTAGTGTTACTGTGGGTGTTGTCAGACTGCAGCCCCCAGAGCAGCAGGGCTGAGGCCCAGTTCTGCAGCTGGCCAAGGCCTGGGTTTTCAGGCCTGTCAAATCAGCTTGCTGTATCTCAGGGCCGTGAGGGGGGGCCCTGTCTCCCCCAGGTTCTGCACACCCTAGCCGACACTGCCTACTTGCTCTGCCTTGGAGATGAGTCCGGATGCTGACACTTGTGTTCTGAGGGTGGAAGGCTTGGCTTTGCTTTGGAGGTCGGGGTCCAAGAGTGGGGATCAGTGTCTCAGGCATTGACTGCATCCTCTTGTTCCCTTGCCATGAGTCTCGCAGCAGGGAGGTGAATGGCGAGACAGGGTGTCTGGCTTCATGGGCTGGCTCTGCCCTGGGAGCAGGAGCTGGGAGCGATTGCTCCAATGTGTGTGTCAGTCTGTATTGTCCCTACACCTCCCGCCCTCGACTCCCAGCAGCTGCCTCTTGGCCGTGTTCCCATGCACAGGAATTAAGCACTTTGCTCATCAAAGCTGCCTTCCCCATGGAGGCCCACAGCCATGCCTGCATTCCTTGGGCGCTGTCTGCCATGCAGCAGTGCCCTCACAGCTTGCTTGCCGGTTCCCAGAGACCAGTCTACACTGGGGTGTTGCACAAATAACTGCGGAAGGTTAAAGAAGGGGCATCTCCTTCTCCTGGCCCCTCAGCTGTGCACTGGGCAGTTGTGTGTCTTCACACACACACACACACTCTCCCCCTCCCCGCCCCTCTCCCGCTGTCCAGCCTGTCAGTCAGGGCTGCCTTGGGACATCCCGTACCTCCCCAGCCTTTGCAGCTGTTGTGTTGCAGGTTCCCATGCTGGCCTGGCCTGGCATGGAGATGCCGCCCGCCCGTTTGTTCCCTCTCTGCACTGCAGCTGGAAGCCACCCCCATTTCTGACACAGCCGCTGGCTGAGGGTGGTGCCCCGTGTGATGAAGTGGGACTGTTCTTAATGTTTCCTCTGAATACTGTAGGGATGCCTCAGTTTCCCCTATGCATTTCTTAAGTCTCTAGGTGGTGGGATAAGGGGGTGTAATTGTTGCAGAGCAAAGGGCCAGTGTACATAAATGGCCGGACACTCTGTCTCCTGGCAACTGATGGCCTGGGCCCTTCCCCCCCTGCAAGGTGATAGCTAAAGGGGTTGGAGAACAAAGGAATCAGGTGACCTCCTGTCCCGGGGAAAGGGACAAAGCCCAGAGGAGCAGGGGGGGTGGAGAGTGGGCCAGTTGGGGCTGGCAGGGGACGTGGAGTGAAGTGCAGATGTGGTTTTCTGGCTCACTGCCCCCCAAAATGGACCCAGCTGAGGGGTCCTGTTCTCTGTACCTACAAGCTCTGTTTTAGACTGTATTCCTGTCATCTAATAAACCTTCTGTGTTCCCGGCGGGCTAAGAGTCATGTCTGACTGTGAAGTTGGGGTGCAGGACCCTCTGGCTTCTCCAGGACCCCGCCTGGGCGGACTCGCTGTGGGAAGTGCACGGAGGGGCAAAGGATGCTGAATGCACCAAGGTCAGACCCAGGAAGGTGGAATTTGTGTGAGCTTTTTGCCCTGGAGACAGTCTGCTCACAGAGAGGAGGCTCCCCCAGAGTCCTGACTGGCTTCATAGGGAGCAGTTTCAGAGCATTGCCCGGGGACTCCGTGACACCCTGGGATCGAGGGAAAAGGCTTTACCAGCCTTTGGGGCGGTGCAGGCCTGACTCAGAGTGGAGGTGAGATGGAATCACCTGGAGGAGGGCTCCTGGCTTGGGGAGCAGCTGGCCCAAGGAAGAGCCAGAAGCAAATCGAAATGGTGGTATAGGAATGCGCAGTGGTTCTCTGACGTCCCCCACTGCCATGGGTGCCCTGGAGAAAAGGGCTTGGCTGCCCAGCACAGGAAGGACCCCCAGGTATAAATCCCCTTCTCTGGTGCTCTCAGCCACCCTACGCCCTCCAGCAGAGAGACAAGCGTGTGAAGCTCATGTGGGTTATTAGCATGTGTGTTGCCATCAGAGCCTTGTCTGTCTCTCTCTCCGATCTGCTGGAATCTGGGAGGCGCTCCCCACGTGGTGGGCATGGTTTCCCCCTCATCGGCTTAGTGCGATGGCAACGTGCGCCTGTGCCAACTGCTCCCACCCGGGATTAAGTGTACTGATCTCTGGCAGATTGCTCAAGGACTGCGGTGTTATCCTGGCCCAGAGCTAACCTCCTCCTAACTGCTGGGGAGGGCACGTCCTGGTGCTACCCGGTCGCAGTGTCCCTTCCCAGGGCCCGGGTGGTACTCTAGGAGACAAAACCCATCACCGGGATTGGCAGGCGTGGGTTTGTGAGCGGTGGGTAATTAGGCTGTGACCCCATTCGGTGCTTCGTTTATAGAAAAAAGGTCATAGATACAAAAAGAAAAGGAGGACTTGTGGCACCTTAGAGACTAACCAATTTATTTTAGCATAAGCTTTCGTGAGCTACAGCTCACTTCATCGGATGCATACTGTGGAAAGTGTAGAAGATCTTTTTATACACACAAAGCATGAAAAAATACCTCCCCCCCACCCCACTCTCCTGCTGGTAATAGCTTATCTAAAAAGTGATCGCTCTCCTTACAATGTGTATGATAATCAAGTTGGGCCATTTCCAGCACAAATCCATGTTACACACACACACACACACACACACACACACACACACACACACACACACACACACACACACACACACACACACACACACACACACACACACACACACACACACACACACACACACACACACACACACACACACACACCTGTTACTCTGAAGCCTGTCATAGATACAGACATCTAGCCCTGGGGGACTAGCAGGAACCCGGCAAAGGAGACTGAGCCCATCTGGTGTGACGGATATAGTTGTGTTTAAAACCCATGATCAGTTGATTTAAATCCATTCAGCTGGCCTTCCTCCTCGCCTGGGGCGCGGGTCTGCCTTTGCCTCGGGCCCTTCTGGCAGCCCAAGCACTCTGGCTTGGCAGACCCATTGCAGGAATGTGACCTGTTTGCAGAGATCTCCGTAGCTGTCAGTGTCTTTCTGAGTCACCCACTGACACTTTAGTGACTCTTCTTCCTCCAGGAGCTGTGGCCAGTACAGTGGAGCTGTGCCAGATGCCCCCGGGCTATGTCAGCAGTTGCAGGCTCCCCCGTGGCCATTTTTACTCTGGCCGTGACGCGCTCTTCCCCGTGTCTGAGCTCTCCGCTTGGTTGGACCAATGTTTCCATTGAACGATCAGTGCTGGCTCCTGCCCCATGCCACACGGGGGATCCAGCCTGGGGACTGGGGCTTCCTGCGGGCACCGGGGACGTCAGCTGCTGCACTTCGGGCCCCTGTAATTTGCACTCCCTGCTGTGCACGAGTGACAATAAATGTCTCTTGCTGGTGTCAGTTGTTCCCTCCTCCGTTCTCAGTGGAGCTGGGGTTTGAAGCGGTTCGAGTAGCAATCCCGGACTAGCTCCTGTTTCCTGGGGCTGCACCAGCACGGCCAGGCCACCAGTACAGCAGGGCGGGTAATGCACAGCTGCAAAGACGGTTTGTCCTCTCGGGAGGCTGGGTCAGAGTCTGTGTCCATGCAGGAGAGAACGAAGGGCCTCAGTGAGAGCAGCAAACCCCCTAGCTCAGAGAGGGCTCAGCGGGCAGGCTTCCCACCTGCTTAGGGGAGGGCATAGCAGCCCAGCTCTGAGAACTGCTGCTTGCTGGCTAGTTACTACTGCTCATCGCAAATTTTAGGCCCTATATAAACTGTGGCTAGTGTTTGCATGTTGTTTTTAAAATCCCCAGTCTACATGGATGGAGAAGCTATTGCAAGCCACAAGGAAATGTTAGAGCCCGCTAGCCTGGGCTGCCCTTTGTGGCAGTGTCTGGGTCCTTGTGTGCTTGTAGATCACCCCGCATGATGGGCCCCGGTCCTGCCTGCCCCTCTGAGCACTGCTTTCATACGGGCGTTAGAGACGCTGCAGCTGCTCTTTCTTATGAGCCTCAGCCTGAACGTGGCCCTGCCCTGTTTGCAGGTGGCCAAGGACGTCTCTGTGCGGCTCCACAACGAGCTGGAGGTGGTGGAGAAGAAGAGGATCAAGCTGGAGGAGGAGAATGAAGACCTGCGCCAGAGGCTGATCGAGACAGAGCTGGCCAAGCAGGTGCTGCAGAACGAGATGGACAAACTGCGTGAGGTGAGAGGGCTGGGGTGCATGGGGGAGGGAGCATGTATGCACCCTGCTGTGTGGGGGTGGGGGGTATTTTATGTGTCCCTGGTGTACCAGGAAGCCAGCCCAGCTGTTAGTGGTTAGTGGCTACAGGCTCTCCGCCTGTAGAAGGCTTCCTGTCTCCTTGCACCTTGGGAATCCACTGGCCTCTCTGCTCTCCTCATTTAAATGAAAGCTGCTTTGCCATCAAAATATTTATAACCTTTCCCCCGGTTTGCAAGCTCTGGGCAGTGCCTGTCTCCTCTCTGTGAGCCTCAATGGCCTAGGGCCTCAGCTAAGTTGCTTGTGAGATCTCCGTTCCATCCCTACTAGACACTAGCCCTGCTGGGATTTACTTCGCCACGGTTCAGGGAGGCCTTAGCAGCAGGGGCTGACCCGTGTGCCTCCAGCTCTCTGATTCGACAGCAGCGGCTTTGACTGCCTATGTGGACGCTCTCCATAGACATGGACTAATAAATACTGTTCCGCCCTCCTGTGACGGTTGGTGAGTGGGGCCAGGGTGGGAGGCCCAGGAGCTGCAGAAGACGTCCCTCAGGGGGTGTGTTTGTTTGCTGGTGGAAGGGACTGTGACACTTTCCCAGCATATGAGTGGGGTCCCTGAGAGGGAGGAAACCAGCCCCTCCTGAGCCTAGAAATGTCAACCGGCTTTCCCTGGGGCACCCTTGGCTCTGGTCCAGCCTGAGGCGTGTGTGACTGAGCCGCAGAGGGAGGGTCTATGCATGCACCCGGCAACTAGTGCATGTGGGGGGTGACAGATAGCATGCATGTGCCATGGCGGGGAGCTGGCTCCTGGCAGCAGCCCGGGTCTGGGGTCACTCTGGGCATAGAGTCCCCCCTCCCTCCTCAAGTCCAGTGCTGCCCTTGCCTCTCCCCCCATGTGTCTGCCTCACAGCAGCATGTACGCCCCAGTCAGCAGCAGCGCCATGCCCTGCCTCGTGGGGCTGGGAGGGCACTGCTGGTCCTGCAGCCTCCCAGAATAGCCTCTCTGCAGCATGCATCGTCTGGGTTGTATCCTGAGCCCCTGCCTTCAGCCAGGGAGCTGGGGCTGGCTGCAGGACCCCGGGGGCTGTCTAGGGGAGGCGGCTGCGGGGCAGGCCAGAGAGGAGCATTGAGAGCTGACTTGCTTCTCCCTCCTGGAGGGCCTGCTCTCCCTGCCATGCTCTGGGCTCTGACAGTAACGCCAGTACGGATAGTTCAGGGCAGGAGCAAGGGGAGTCGCTGAATATATGTGTATGTGTGGGGGGGTCCAGGTAAGCAGAATGGAATTACCCTGACTGACGTTCAGCTCAGACAGCAGGATCGTCGGCCTGACTCGGCGCCGGGCACCTCTGCTGACCGTGCCTCTCGCAGCACAGCACCCCAGCACCATGCTGGGGCCTTGGTTCCATGCTCACCCCAGTGCCATTCCCTGCACTGCTGGCCCAGGCCAGCCCCTCTGGGGAGCCAGCTAGCCACCCACCCTTGTGTTGTGCAGTAACCCTCCTGCCCTGCCTGGCTCCCTCCTGTGCAGATCCCTTTCCATGGCCCTTGTCCTTGCAGGCCAAGAGCGGACTTTGCTTACATGTCATGTGAGCAGCTGGGAACTAATCTCACACTTGCAAACCCTGTCCAGCTGCTCTGTGTACAGGGCTGGGGCTGATTCAGAGCAGCGGCTCTTCTTGAGCTGCCTACTGTCTGTCCTTGCTCTCCAATGCACGTTTGGCTCAGCGTTCCCTTGAGCATGGCTCCCCAGCCAGAGTGCTGCCCAACCGTGAGCAGACGGTACTAATGGGCATGAGATTAGCTTGTGTGCAGCCGGAGAGCATGAACTAGCAAAGGAAAGCGGCTGGAGCAGAACTGCAGGGGATTCTATGGCCTGATACCCAGAGGCAGAGAAAGCCGCAGTGTGAGCAGACGGAGAGTTATTGATGTCTAGCTGTGGCCAGGGATTAAGGTTTGTGTCGCCTGCACTCAGGGTCTCGCTGAGAGGTGCCAGAACATGCAGCTCCAGGGTTTCGTTGTGTCTAGTGCTCCTCGTTCAGGGGCGAGGGCGACCCCTGCAATCCCAGGCAGATAGTGCCAATGCAGAATCGCCCCCACAGGAATGGCAGTGCCCTGTCCAGGCTTTCAGCGCTGCACAGAGGAGAGCTGCATCTGGAGAGTTCTCCCTCGTTCGCATGGGCTCTCTCGGTTTGGTATCGCAGCTCCATGCCCTCTGTCTGGTCAGTTCCTCCTCCTCGCTGGAAACGCCTTCCTGCCTCCTCTGCTAGGCAGCTTGGCTTCGTGTCGCTGCGTTTCTTTGCCAATCTCGATGCAGCCCAGCTGGGTTTGTCCTCCTGCCTCAGCCTTTCATTTCTTATTCTGAGCAGCTGTGCATGGATGGGGCAGGTGGGAGGAAAGGCCAGCGCCATGCACTGGTGTTTGAAGTCCCTCTTGTTAATCTCCACAGGGTTCCTGACAGGCTACAGACAGGAAGATGCAGCTCCTTAGCTTTGCTAGGGAGTTGGATCTGCCTGGATCTGGGATCCTCAGGGCTGTCCCAAGGGCAGTTGTGATCTGATGGAGTAGTGGGCTTGAAGTCAGACATGGCTTGTGCTCTTTTCTCTGTAGCTGACTTGCTTTGTGGCCTTGGGCAAGTTGCTTCCCCCTCATTATCTCAGTTTCCCATCTGTGAAATGGAGTTGCTAATGCTGACCCTCCTGGGGAAGGGGCTTGAGAGAGGAAGCAGTACATAAGCACAGAATATTGTCATCTCAGAGGCAAATGTGCAGTTTCCTGGAGGTGTCAGCATGACTAGAAACTGTTTTTATGCATCTGAAAGCTTGCAGGTGTGCCAGAGACAAATCTATAGGGAGGGTGTGAGAGAGAGAGAGAGAGACACCCCCACACACCCGTTGCCCACTGCAGGTATCTTAGCTAAAGCCAGACTCTTTTGCCTCCTTTACAGAGGGTTGCAAGGGTCCCCTCTGGGCTGGGGAGAACCATCCCTTGTGCCAGCTCTCAGGACTCTGCACTTTAGAGGTGTGTGATGAGCGGGGGCCGAAATCTCTTCTCAGCTGGGAGCTGTGTATTTTCAGTGGCTTAGACCTGAACTGCAGGTGGGGTCAGGTCAGGTCCTGACTCCAGCAGGCATCCTCTGGGATACTCTCGCTTGGCTGCTAACTTATTTAGCCTGCTGTTCTTGGACTGTGTCCAAACCGTGGTGCTTCTCTGGGCTGAGGTGCTGTCTGAGGTGGCTCAGCAAAGGAGCTGGGCTGGCATGCCCATGCAGTGGATACCCCGAGGCCAGCAAGGTCCCAGCTCCTCATTAGCAGCTTCAGTGATTCATTTGGTTTTCTAATTAGGGTTTCTGAACAAGTGAGTTAACAGCCCTCAGCCGCCTCTTCCTCCTGTGCTGAGGTGCATCTTGGCAGCGCAGCAGCCAAGCTGGTTAGTAGCAATACAAACAAGCCCCTCTCCACGGCTCAGCACAGGGACAGGCTTGCCCCTAAGGGGATTAGAGGCTGATTATTTCTGCAGCCGGAAGAGGCGTCTCCCATAATTGGATAAATGCTGGGAAGGCCAATTAATCACCCAGCACATGCAACGCGACACCTGTGGCTCTGTGCATCTTCTCCCCTCCCAGGGCTGCATCTCCCGGAGCGCCTGAGTCCTTTGGTGGCAGGAGGGGGATGAGACAGGACCAGGTCCTGACGCCCAGCGGAGCCACATGGCGCAGCTCGGCACAGCAGGACTGGCGTGTTAATCTGAACCCAGCATTGCCCAGCAATCACAGTCCTGCTGCCAGCCCGTAGCGCTGGAGGGGTGCCCGGCGGCATGGCCGTGCTGACACCATGACCCCAGCGCCAGAGGCTGACGGGACTGTGGTGCTGATATCGCAGGCTCAGGGACGCCCTCTCCGGCCGTTACCCAGCCACTTTTCTGGCCTCGGGGTGGGACAGCCGGGTCCAGCCCCATTCCAGAGTCATGCTGGTGTCACAAGAGCATTTTGCTTCTGAGGGAGAGAAGGGGGAGAGATGTAAGCGTGGTGTGGCCCTGCTCCTTCGGGAGGGTTTGCTCACTGCATGGGGGCTTCCCAGCAGCAGCAGCAGCAGCCCTGACAACGGGCATGTCCTTGATAGGAGTGGCTTAGATCTCAGCACCTTGGCACAGCCAGCGGCTTGCACTGCTCAGCTGCAGTCTTCGGCTGCCGGGTCCCAGCACCAGCTTGTGAATATTTCTGGTGCAGCACGTGTTGAGGGCAGCATCCACGGGGCCCTGCTCTACTGCAGCGTCCCTGCTCAGTAGTGTGGCTGGCAGGGTTGTTCACCAAACACTTGCTGGGACTGCGGGGTTGAGTAGGCAGCTGGGCTGCTCCGCCCGAGTGAGGGGAAATGCCTGCATCTTGCAGGAGCAGGAGACGTGGTGGCTCACAGTGGAGGGTTTCTCAAGACCCACTAAAGCAGCACGAAATTTGTCCCCCTCGAGTCAGTGTGGCTTCTCTTCCCCCCGGGTCTCCACATCAGGAGCAGGCGGCAGTGGCTGGAAAACAAAAATCAAATTCAGCTTTGAAAAGAGCTGTGAAAATTGGTGGGAAGGAAGGAGGTAATGTGCAGAGAATGCAGGAGCAGCCCAGGTGCACGGTGCATGCCTGGGACCTCACTCTGCACCCTCCAAGATGGGGAACTGCCGCTGCGTGTGAGGCTCCCCGCGCAATCTGCTTGGCGAAGGGCTGATGATCATGAGCCTCCAAGGCCGCTGCACGCTCTTCTCTTCACCACCACACTATGTGGGGGGGGCTCGCGGGGGCAGGGTTTGCCGTGGTTCTGCATCCTGTCTGCTGCCCTGCACGTTAAACAATGGCGATGAGGGTTCTTGTCCCACAGGCTCCCCCTGCCCACCCGGGCCCTCGCTCCTCTTCCTGCTCGTGCTTTGCCACAACACATTGAAAATCCGCCATGGTGCCCTTGGCTACGCGCCCTGCTGGTCATCACCCCCCATGGCTGCAC